GATGTTTCTCTGTCAGAAGCAGTCGCGCACCCGAAAAGGTAATGATGCGCCAGTGGGTGGCGATGCTCTGCCATCTCCTGACGAGTTCTTGGGGACAAAAGGCTATGTGTGATCAACAGCCGTGGCGATGATGGCAGCTGTCTCAAACGCAAGATAGCTGTGTTCTCGCGTCCACGCTTCTCTGCGATGCAAGTGCTGGGATAAGTAGTAAGTGGGCCGTATTCATGTTTGTCACCTTCTTTAAAGGCGTTGTGTCATCCTGGCACCTTGCAGCAGAGTGTACAAAGCCAGGCCCTTCCGGGACCGCCCTCGTTAAAGCGAACAATAGAGTTGCCTTGGACACTCCAGACCTGACAGACGTGGTCTATGCAGTTCTGTGCGGGTCGGGGTTGGCACCATTGGCACTTGCACGTTCGACCCTGCTGCCGTCTACTCAGACATATGTGACCTCAAAGAAATTCGTTAAGTGCAGCTCCCATTGCCTTGTAGAAGGCGCAGAGTGGCTTGGGAACTGTGTGCCTTTCCCTATACTTCCCCATCGGTTGTGTCTGTTTCGTCGTGCCAGCTCGGAGGCATTCTTTGACATGTCGCTCAGCCACGCTATGCTGCTGTCCCTGGGAGCATGATTGTTGCACTAGAGCGGTTACTACAGGGAGCTTGTGACAGAGCTTTGGGTTCACGTGTGCGCAACTACCGCAAGGTGGAGTTGTGTCCGTCTCACGTTTATCGTGGTGTTCGCGAGTGGACGGCTTTGGTTTCAGCCAGTCCGCACTTGTTCGCCGAGGAAGAATGTTGATGTTTTTGCCAGGATGGAGCAAACCTGTTTCTTCATGTCACTGTTAAATTTTGTTGAACTCACCGTTGCTCGTGCAAGCGAAGGCATGACAGTCACTGACATGTGAGGCTGGGCTCATCATACATAGCAGCCGGATCGAGAGGAGATGAAGTTACACTGGATCCTGTGATGATGCTTGGCCGGGGAGCATGTCATTTGACATGTTATTCCATCTCGTGTCAGTTATGTGACTCTGACTGACATTTGCAAGGAAAGCCAGCCCTGGAGTGTCCGAGGCCATTACGGTTGCGCAGCCTATATCAGCCAGCACACGCTGCAAGCCAGCTGCTTTCAGTTGCTGGGAGAAAGTCTACGTGACAGAGCTCAGGCTGCACAAGACTGGCTTTTTCTTACCGGCCCATCTCCCCTGGTGGCAGCAACGGCGAGCCGGGCTTGGCTACGTATCCTGGCATTTTACTTGTTGGACTCCTTGTGCAGGTGATAAATGGCCCTGGTAAGGTACTTTGTTCATTTTTGGCCTGGCCACTGTTGCAATGATCTTGCAGATCCGTTCGGCACTCGCAGTGGGCTCGGTCATAGTTGCAGAATGGAAGTCTCATCATAGTGTGCCCGTCACAACTTGCACAAGGCCATCTTGAAGCGAGGCATGAACCACCTGTCGAAGCTAGACGAACAGGCACCTTGTGCAATGTCAGCTGAAAGCCTCAGCACCTATGTGACCTGTCCAGGTTGCACCGGAGACTTGGATGACAAGTGAAGTGTTCGTGAGGTTCTATCAGGTTGATACCGTTTGGTGGAAGGTGTCTACGTGGAGTCTACATATTGGAGGGGAGTACCACATTGAGTCTACACATTGGGGGGAATGCCACATGTTCTATGGCCCAGGAACCCATGAGCCCTGCAGCTTTTCATGCGGCAGCAGAGGAGGACCGGTTGGCGTGTGCCCTGCAATGGAACGTGTGACGTCAGAGGAGCCGGGCAGAGCTCGGGTGTATGTCTGCAGGCCGCCTCGCTGCAGCGCCAGCGCCTAGCCGAGCACCGTCGCCGCCTTGCCCCTCAGGCCACGGATGCGAAGCATTTGCCACGGCGCAGACTCTAATACCGCCTGTCTCGACCAGTCCTCTGTGCGCCGTGCCTGCAGCGTGCCGCGGCCATCGCCCGTAAAGGCAGAATCTCGGCCACGAGCCCGCAGCGCCGAGAGGCTCCGGACCAAATGGTGTTTCCACAGATTTCGCTGAAGAACTGAGATGCAGGTAATGCGGCTGCTGACCGTCTGAGTCATCTGTGGCAAAGCATACCAACTTCACTCTACATCTCAGCCTAAGAGCAGAGTCTTTGCATGTTCTTAGAGACTTGCTGGACTGGCTTTGCCACAAGATGGCAGAAATGGGCGATTCGCGTCTCACTGGATCTTGGCGAGCACTCACCGAGAAAAGCGCATTAATTTGGATGTTTGCTGTGCAGATGCAGAGTAAGGAGGTGCACATTGCTTGGTGTCACTTTCGGGTGTGCTTCGGCAATCTCTTGTAATTGTAGGCATGCTGTGACTCGCATGGCACGTTTTGAGTTGTGTAGTGCCACTGGCCTGGTCATGCTTTCCGTAGCAATCACTGACCGCTCCACATCAGCGCCTTTCGCCTTTGACAGGCCAAAGTGATCTCCTTCTCTGGCACGCAGAAGTCTGCCTTTGCCACAGAGGCTCGACGGCAACTGCTTGAGAAGTTAGTGGGTAGAGTTTATGCTGTCGTCGACAGAGCTGGGCCCGGTTTTTCTCCTAAGGCTCTTGTCTGGGGCCCTTGGTAGGGTTGGCCTTGGCCCCTGGTCTTCTGCTCTCGTCCCCTGGTCCTTTGGTCCCCCCCCCCCGATCCCTGGTCCTCCAGTCCTGTGATCCCTGGCCCAAAGGTCTCTGGTCCGCTGGTCCTGCGGCTCCCCAACCCCCTCCGGTCTATTTTGTAGTCCCACAGGCTGCGGCCCGTAAAAAGTTGGGGACGGGTTTGGCAAAAGAGATATATGATGAATATTAATCGCCAAATGAGGGGGCGTGCTTAAGACACATAATGAGGAGCGTGGCTAAGATATGTGATGAACCTCGGTCGCCAAATGAGGGGGAGGGTGTCTAGGATGTATGATGAACCTGAATCGCCTAATAGGGGGAGGGGGGTTATGTTTAAGATGTATGATGAACCGGAATCGCCACATGAGGGGGCGTGTTTAAGATATATTGCGATGAACCGGAATCGCCACATGACAGGGCGTGTTGAAGAAGTATGATGGGAATCGCCATGTGATAAATGAAGGGCATGTTTAAGATGTATGGTGAACTGCACTCGACAAATGATTTGGTGTGTTTAAGATATAGGCTCAACAACTCAACAACAACAGCAGCAACATCGCAATCATTCGCAATCTATCTGGAGTGTCTGTTAAGTACATGTGTGTGTGCACGGAATGCCATGTCATGTTTGCCCTCTCTCGTTTCTAAGATTTCGCACGAATCTTGCTGGTTCATACATGAGAAGACCTCCCCAGGCATGCATCAAGACGCCATCGACAATCCTTCACACATAACCAGCTCCCTGTCAGTGTTGTGTGTTGCTTCGTCAGCCCCCCGGCCAGCTTGTTGAAAAGCCGTGCAAGCTCGCTTCAAAATGACATCCTGCCAGCAGAAACAGCACGCATGTGGATCCTTTCAGAACCCCTGAGCCCCCAACCCCCCCAAGCCCCCCGCTCTCTTTGGCCGCGGGTCTGTGAAAAGTTGGGGGCGGGTTTAGCAGTTTAGCGAAAGTGCAGAATCGGAATTGGCAAATGAGGGGGCGTGTTCAAGATATGTGATGAGAGGCCGTGTTTAAGCTATGTGATGAACCGGTCTCGCCCAATGGGGGGAGGGGGGCGTGTTTAAGATATAGGATGAACCGGAGTCGCCACATGAGGGGGCGTGTTGCTGATATATTCCGATGAACCGGAATCGCCACACGACAGGGCGTGTTTAAGAAGTATGATGGGAATCGCCACGTGATACATGAAGGGCATGTTTAAGATGTATGAGGAACTGGACTCGACAAATGATCTGGCGTGTTTAAGATATATGATGAGCCGGACTCGCCACATGATGGGGGCTGTTTAAGATATGTTATGACATGATGAACCGGAAACGCTACATGAAGGGCAGCGCTTAAGATGTATGATGAACCGCAATCGAGAGCTGATTTCGCGTGTTTAAGAAATACGACAAACCGGAATCGCCCCCGCAAGTTGTAATCCCCCCTTAGCTTGGGGCAAAACAGGACCTTGTAAATTGAAATTCCCCAAAAGCCTGATGCAAAGCAAGACCCTGCAAATTGGAATTCCCCGATAGCTTGACACAAAACAGGAGCCTCGAAGTTGTAATCCCTCAATAGCTTGGTGCAAGCCAAAACCTTGCAAATTGTAATTCCCCACTAGCTTGACACAAGACAGGAGCCTCGAACCCCCATAGCTTGGGGCAAAACAATACCCTTACAAGTTGGTTTGATGCCGCACAAAACCTTGTAAGTTGTATTCCCCAATAGCTTGAAGCTAAACAAGACCCTGCAAATGGCATTTTTTCAATAGCTTGACACAAGACAGGAAACTCGAAATTGCACTCCCCCAAGAGCTTGGGGCAAAACGAAAGCCTGGTAATTGCAATCCCCCAATAGCTTGCCACACGACAGCGCAATGTATAGTAGTTGTAACCGAAACAGAGATAGCCCAGCAGCTCGACACAAAACAAGAGCCTCGATATCGCAATCCCTCAATAGCTTGCTTGAAACAAGGAGCAGAACCCTGACAAGTGCAATTCCCCAATAGCTTGACGCAAAGCCACTCCCTGCAGATTGTAATTCCCCGATAGCTTGACACAAGACCGGAGCCTCAAAATTGCCATTCCCCAGTAGTTTGATGCAAAACACTGACAAATGCTGCAATTTACAGTATTTGCAACAACCAGGAAGAGACCAATGTTAGCAAGTGAGATCGGGGACCGCCAGCGTTAGGAAAAAAGTTCTCCGCCCGACAGAGCTGCACATGAGAAGAATCACAGGGAAAGAATCACGCTGCGAGATCTCGTGGCTTATTTGTCGTTCGGCAAAGCCTGGTGCCTTCCAAAAGTTTTCAACACCGCATAAGGGGTCTGTCTCTAGTGTGGCCAAGATGTAGCATTTTGGTGCGTCGCACAGCTGAAGCCATGTTTGCGGCTTGTACACATGGCCTCCTTGCAAAGCCAACCGGGCTGCTCCTGCAAGTCCCTGAGCCGACTCCCGCATGGTCATCATCCCGAGCTGTGGCGGCATTTGGTAGTTGCATTTTGAGTTGCACTTGTCTTGATTTGGTGCGCCTCGTTTTACATTTCTTTGAAATACAGCCTTGCTCGAGGATGGTGCTTGTCGAGTTTGCAGTGGATTGCACGATCTCGGGGGATAAGGGGTGGGCAGGAAGGAAGCTTCACTCATTCTGAAGCACGGTAATAGAGCTCTCGCCACCAAGTGTTCCAACTATACTGTCACGCAAAACACCACCAGCAACCGTCTGACAGCTTTGCGCGCAGCATGCGACCGACGACATGTTCAATTCGTATCTGCAGTCTGTATTCTTCGAGCAGAGTCTCGTTAAGTACGCCATACAAGCGGTCCTGGAAACGTGAACTATAGTTTGTGCATCCCAAAAGGCAGTCTTGTCCCACACGTTTGACCCTGACCCAGCTTGGGCTGAGGCTGCGCAAATCTGACAGCCAGGAGTCGGATTTCTTGGACTTTTTGTGCCGTCGCGGCTCTCTCGGCGCGATGCAGGTGGAAGAGTCGAGGGGCGCGAGTGACTCGAGGCTCGGTTTCGCTGGCTGAGCTATTGGGCCCAGAACTGGCAGCAGACTGGCCGGAGCTGCAAGCTGTGGAGAGTGAGGGCCTTTCCGTCGTCGCTGCTGACTTGTTGGACTTAGATCGGTGCTTGAAGCTGGTGTCACAGGTCTTCCGGGTGTCGGATTCCGAAGTTGAGAGTGTAAAGAAGGGCATTGCTGGAAGGCTCGGGGCTCGTCGAAGTTTGGTGGGCCTTGATGCGGCCTCCCCGCGGCCCTTGCTCGCTCGACCAGCGCCGAAAGGATCTGACGAGCGGCCAGATTTGGGGCTGGTGCTTTGCCTGGAGCGTCGAAGCACACAACCGGAAGACTTTGCCGGCTTGGTGGACTTGTCCCTCTGGCCGGACGATGGCCGCATCCGAGCGCCTGGTGCAAAAACGAAGCCTGGCGTGGCCAGCAAGCCCTATGTGCTCAACCTTTGCGTTGACCCAGCCTACAGACGGAGGGGGCTGGCACGAAAGCTGATGGGCATCAGCGAGAGGCTAATGCGTGATATTTGGGGTGATAGCGAGGTGTGTTTGCATGTAGAAGATGACCAAATCGCGGCGAACGAGCTCTATGAAAGACTGGACTATGTCCCTGTGAAATACACGCTCCTTCGGCTGCACAGTGCTTCGGACTGGTCGATATGTGACTCATCAATCTGGCGGTCCCTGCTCTGTACCCAGAACCCCTGCCATGTTACCTTGACTGTTCTAAGTGCAATGACAGGGCATTCGTATCAGTGGCGGGTCTTTTCCAACAGGACAGCACCATCTGAGGTACGACAAGGAATTTCCGTACACCAAGGCCTGGGGAAGGGCGCACGTCCAAAGCCTTGTTCTCCGGCCTGACGTGCATCGAAGGCAGAAGCAAAGGTTCTGCGGAAAGCTCCTCGATTGCACCTGCGATCGACTCGCCGAAAGATCGGGTCACAATCGGATTTTTCCAAGAGGTTACCTGGCGACGGAAGATGTTGCCAGCGCCGTCTCCAAACTCGCCAGCCCGAACAGGCAAGCGTGCGAGGTTCTGTGTCGGCCCAATGCAGAATCAGGATGTGTTAGAGTTGTTGGCTGCATGTGTTGAAAGGTGTGGCGCTGCCGGAGGGGCAGGCAGGGGAGCAGCACTGTTGGCAGAGCCTATCGCACAGATGTCCAGGCAATCCCTGCTGCAAGCGCTTTGGATCCATACGACGACTTTATAGATCCAGACGACGATTTCGAAGATGAAGATGAGGTGCGGGTTCTTCATCAGCTCGGCTCTAGCCTCGCTTTACTTAATAGCTGGCATCTTAACCTGCAAGGAAGACGAAGACGAAGACGAGGAGGATGCACCAAGAGGGTTTGCAGGGTTTGCGGCATGAAATGACGACAGTTTGGATCGTGCATGATCGTGCTGTGTGAGAAGAAGGGTACGGCATGTGAAAAGGTGGGTTCTAAGGGTGTCTGTCCCATTGCCATGGAGCACATACAAAAGCGGCCGGGTAATGGTGCAGCAGCAAACTGGCTGCAAAGTCCTGCCAGGAAGTCCAAGACGATCCGGACACCTAGCTGAGATGGCGCTCTCGCGGTTTTTTGGGCTGTTGGTGGGCTTCTGGCGGTCAAGTTTGAATGTAAATCTCGGCTGAAGAGCTAGACGTTTTGCTGTGAGGAAGACTTCGATTGGGTCTCTTCGTTGATGAAGTGACGTACTCGATGTATGGGACCGTTGGTGCCTCCTTCGCTGCCGAGCGCGCTGACTGGGAGTGGAGATTCGGATGCCTTCGGCCGTCGGATGCCTGGGATGCCTCGGCCCTCGGCCCTCCGCCCCTCCCCTCGGCCCTCGGCCCCTCGGCCCCTCGGCCCTCTTGAAGCTGACGTGCTCGACGACCGCCGCGGAACCACAAGACGTGCGCGTCCGAAAAAGGGGCCACCTGTCGTCTTGTCGGAGTCTTGACTCAGAAAGCCTTGCGCAAGCCGCAGGTTTCCGGTCCTTCCAAGTTTCTCAAAAAAATTGAGGCACGGCATGGCAGGGCACTTGTGGATCGAAGATTGTGCCGCATCTGACGGCATGATTGGAGCCCTCACCGCTGGGAGCTCTTTGATGCAGGATCTGGACTGCAAATGCCTTGTCGTTGTGGCACCCGAGCTGGCAGCAAGCTCAGGGAACGGACGGAGAGAGGGAACCATCAACAGGATGCCAGAAGCATCTACTGTAGGAAGTGTTGAGGATTCTAATCTTTGGGCTGGAATGTGTGGCCAGTTTGCTTTATCTGCTGCCGACACCAATTCAAGGAACAGCTTCGCACAATTGCAGACTTGAGCAAAGATGCGGAGGATCAGTTGCTGCCTCGGTGTCAGATCGTGAGCATGTGACTGCGTCAAGTGCTTGCAGCCCGAAGCATGCGGAAGTTCAGGAGAGATTGTGCACACTTCCCCAACTAGCTTTGCGCTTTGCTTGAACTGCTCGAGGATGGGAATCATCCTCCTCAACGCTCGAATACACGGCCTGCAGCTCTTTGCTGTCGGGTTCTGCATAGACACGGCCTTGTGCTTGCCCTGTCCCGCATGGTCAGATTCCGACTATCGTAGGACCTTCGTGTTCGTTCGTTTCTTGTCCTCTACTTGCTTGTCCTGTCCTCTGCTTGCAACGGCCAGGGAACAAGAGCCGTAAGGCAAAAAAGATTCCTCCGAGGTACGGATCTTACAATGACGGATCGGTGAATGCTTTGTAGCATGGCGACGTTGTTGGACGGAGATTGCATGCAAAGGCCTTTCCATGCCCAAGGTTGTTGGAATATTTGCAGAAGGAGTTCCAGCCATCCTACCACGTCCGCTTTCTTGAACAGAAGTCGGGACCTCACTGCAGAATCACTGCCGCAATGTAGGTCTCGAATAGAGGTATGTGAAGGTATGCGAAGAGTGGTGGAAGATCTCCATGGTACCCAGTTGAAGCGTAGATATCAGTGTAGGTAAGCCAACTGCATCGAAGATGCCAAATATCATGCAGTCTGAGGGCAAGATCATGTTGCGAGGCAGTGGCCGGACAACAGCATCATTTTCAGGCAGATCTGCCCTGATGGAGAGGCCTGCTTTCGGCTTTCAGAGGGCTCCCTGCAGGCAGCCACACGGCTTGCATACGCCCTTTGCCTTCCCGTAGCTGGCTGTTGCGTACTTCCTTCCGCACGTAGTTTCGCGAGCAGGAGTTGCGTCCAAGTCCGTCCGTCTTCGTTGGGCTGGATGGAGCTTCAATCAGCATTCACTGCTTTGAGTACATATCCATGCTGCACACTGCTGTTGCACATGCAAGTCTACGGCCTAGGAAGTACCGGAGTGTCATGGCCTATGGCGCAAGAAGGATCACGCCTGTCGGAAGTCTGCCGGATGTTGGGTTGCTGGGGTTTGCAGTCGCGTTGGTGATCCCTCGTTCGTGAAGATTGCCTGACTCTTGCAACGGGGAAGGCGCTAGCCGGGCTTCAGGGCAACGGACATAACAAATCAACGCAGCACACAAGCATCCTTGCCTTGTCCGACAAGCTGGTGACTGGTAATCTGCTGCAAGCAGCAGGAAAAGTGAGGGTCTGACAGAACTTCACGGCAGTTGCCTTGTGAAGGGACCCTGGATTGTCGCGGTGCAGCGAGAGCTGGTTGGAGGAGCGGTGGTGACCAATGAGGCGCCTCCCTCCGGCGCTTGTAGCAACTGTGTCCGGAGAAGTTGACGGTCAATCAGTTTGGCTTTGGGTTGGTTTGGGTTGGTCTGGCAGTACAGCTTGACCACTGTGCCTACTGCAGTTGCCAGGTTCTTCGGTCTGACCATGAGTTCGGTGCTCAGATGTCCACTGCATCGCAGTAATGGCACCGCCCGGAAGCCTGGAGGCCAAGCGCCGACGAGATCAGCGAGGCGTTCGATCGCTCCCGTGAGAAGCTTTCGTTTCGCCTCTGACGCACAGACATGGGTTCGCATGTGGTTTGGAACGCAAAGCTACAGTGTAAGGTTATGAGGCGAGCGACAAAGATCCGTCATCCCCGTCGTCGTTGCAGGGAGCTGCCCTGAACACTGGTTGTTCTGCTCTGCACTCCGCCGCGATTGATGTCATAGCCCATATTGTTCTCGTGCTTTCTGCTTCTACAGTGAATCTGCTTTGAGCCTCCATATGTAATTGGATTGCTACGGTTCCATGACACCGTGGTACAGTAGCTAGGATGGCGTACGTTGAGCCAATGCTGCCGTGTCTTCGAGTCCAGCCCCTAAGTCTGTGACGACAGCCATGGATCGCACAAGAAACCTGGACAACTACTTGCCACCGGCTTCCAGCGGCAGCACCGCGGGCACCTCAGGATTGCAGGAGAAAGCTGTAGGAGCATCTAGTACCATTTGCATATGTGTGTTTGCGTGGGTGATCGTGGGTGGGTGGGCTCTCTCCGCTCGTTCCAGGTTTGCATGGCAAGCATCTAGCGACTCTAGCGCGTTCAGGCCATTGCTGGTATCGTCCTATGGATCGTTGCCGGGATCTGCCTTCTGTTGACCTTCCGTCTGATGCTCAGCCATTGCAAATCAATCATGTCCTCCACCGCCGGGCTCTCGCCGTTTGAGTGAAGACAAGCTACGTGTCCAAACAACTACAATGGCAGAACGCAAACTCAGAAGCTGAAGCCGAACGGCCAGGCAGCGCCACGGCTGTTCAGCAGTGTGCTCAAGCCTGCGGCGCGAGCCTCAGACCTGAGACGAAGAGTTGCCCAGCATCGCGGAACACATGGGTGTCACGAAAGCTAGCTCCTTCGGTTGACAGATTTGGAGGCCCCCCCCATCCCCTCCTCACAAGAGGGTGCAGCAGAGCGCCGCCATCACTCGGTGATATGGCGCAGCGTGCTATTGCACAACTGAAGACAGCAGAAGTGCCTAAGAGTAGTTCACGTTCCCCGCGGACTTCTTGTCCGACTCGTCGTTGATAAGCGCAAGCATGGACCCAGTTTGTCTGACCGAGTGTGTATGTAGGAGGGTAAACTACGGGTAAACAAATGTTTCAGAGTTTCTTGCGTTCAGGAACGAGCGCACGCAAGGATCAGTCACATTCGCTTACCAGCATCTGCTCGAATTTGCAATACACCGCTGCACCTTCACTCCCCCGAGTCGTCCGCTCTGCTCTCAAGTCAAGGGATCACAGAAAGAGACACCATACCATCATGACGGACATGAGATTTTGCTGCGAATTCTCAGCAGGAGGTGGCTGCGTGGAAGCCGGAGGGCGCCACGTCGAGTGCGGAGGTCATGGGGAGGCACCCGCTGGTGAGGATGACTAACAAAGAGCAAATGCTAAGCTGGGATGCTTCAAACCCTGAGACGTAGACGACGTAGACATGTTCCATCACGATCTTCGCGGCCAGGCTTGCTTCGATTTTTGTCGAACGCAGCGAGACGAGAAGGCAACAGCGGTGCACTTGCACGTTCAACAAGTGCTTCCTATCATAGACGAACCCAAGAATGCAAGGATTGCATCCAGAAGCGCCATTGTATTGAAGAAGCGGACAAGGAATGGCACAAGGTCCAGGCTTGCGTCATTGCTTGCGGAGAGCAGTCTGTGGGTCAGCTTGGAAGCCCACAGTGGACTAGGCCTGCGAGAAGGAGCAGGAGTGCGATTTGCAGGGCCTGCTAGGCTTCGACAGCCGTTGAGCTTGATGATGTGATAGTTTGTATGCAGATGGAAACTAGAGTCTAGAGTCTCCACGCTGGCTCTAGGTTCTAGCCACGGAGCTCCTATGCTGGTCTGGCATGTGAAGCGCTTTCATGCTCTCGCAACGCGGCGCGAAAATCATAGCGAGCAGGCACGGGAAAGGGCTTTGCACTGATGTCGGCGCTCGCATCAGTCCTGCTGCGCCCTCGGTTGCTTTGGAGCGCTCGCAAGAAGCATCCGCCCACGGCTCCTCAGGCCTGTGCTGGGCACGATTTGCCTCAGCCTCTTTCAGGCTGCGATGGGGTTGGTGCTGAGCAGCGACTCCTGAAAGACTTCATGTCATCAGGAACCTTTCCAGATGGATGCCTCCGTTTTGAGGCAACGGTGGACTTCCGCAGCAATTAGAAGCAGGATCCCTGCACCCGTCTCACGATCCCTCTGAAGTGGCAGGGACCTGTACTGCTCGGACTACATTGCCCGGGCCATGTGGCTGTTTGGAGCGGGTTGGGATCCGAAAGGGCAGGGGTCAGTCCTCCGTGGGCACGTGCTTTCAGGCTCCAGGCAGATCTCGGCTTTTTTGCTCGGAGGAGTCTTGCTGACCCTCTATGTGGCATGGCTTCTGATTGCCGCTCGATGTTATGGAATGTAGGGCATCCCTTGAATGGGGACATGGGTCCTGATGGTCTGCACTGCCACCTGCCACCAGGCTACAC